CAATGTAGAAGGTGTATTAATGTATTAAATTATCCCTTCGCAGTTCGAAGGGAGCAGCCATTCAGATGGAAATCCCCTCTCCCTTAACCCCCTCTACTTCGCGTATCACATCAGTACGCGTCGGCGAAGTGGAGGGGTGCTTTTGGTGGGGAGAAGTGTCAAACTGGAGGGGAAGGAAAAGCTCGAATGGTAGGGGAGAGGAAGAGGGGAAGTTGGAAGAAGCTCCATCCAGAGAAAAAGGCGGGAGGTTCGGTTTGAGACACCCAGAAGATGCTGCTTCAGTCTGCCGAAACATCGTGGATGGCAGTTCCGAATGAAAATTTGCTTCCCCGATTTTGCATTGAACAATCTTCTCAGGTTTTAACTTAGCCCGAGGGGCAAGAATGGAGACGAAGGCTAACGTTTTGTTGAATAGTGTATAGAGAATGAATTTCTAGTACAAAATCAATGAACAAACGCCAGCAATATTATCGCGCCGCTCAAAAGACGATTTATTTCCTGTTGTCACAAAGGCCGGGGGGAGGGTTATGCTAAAACGAGAGAGGGGTGTTCCGAGCTCCCTTCCACGCCCGCAGTCAGACCTTGGGAGGCGGCACCATTGATTTTTGAAAATGGGTAGACGCGGGCGAGCAGTACGAACCATGCGCGTTTCATCTCCGAAGGGGTGACGGGGAGCGGGAGGGGCTGCCGCAAAGGGGTAATACGCCCGGGCGGCCGGCGTAATGAGACCGAACGCAAAATGGAAGACGGGGTGGCAGGGGCGAGGGGTGTAGCTCGCCCGCCGATCGAACGGCGGCCGGCACGCGGAAGAAGGGGTGCGGACTGCCGGGATGAAATCTCGCGCTGAAACAATAGGATGGAATTCGGCTCTGCCGCCCGCGGCCTGGCAACGTCGCCACGGTCGCTGAAGTACGGGTGCGGGCCGCAGCAGCCGGCGGACCGGCCGGCCGATCCAAAACCAGTTTGCCTTCGGCCCCGAAGTTGTAATAGCGTCTGTCTGGTGCCGGCCCGACTGACTGCGCTGCGGAAACTCGGGGATTTTATTTCAACGGCGCCGCAATTAGATGACATCGCGAAAATCAAGAAGATGCGACACGATAGAAATGCCAAGAAAATTGCCCCCAAAAATTAAAAATGATACATATTGGCGAAATTAACAAAGACCAGCAACAAATAAAACTATTAAACTTACCTTCCACCTTTCCGCACATTTCTTCGAAAATTCGGCGAAAATGACGTTTTCATCGGGATGCTTTTTCTTATGCTCCTCCCTGCATGTCTGAACGAAAAAGGCGTAGGCAGTCATACGACCCCTTGGTTTCGCATCAGCCTTTCCGCGCGGCATCTTCCGGGATGAAACAAAACCTTTATTCTGAACCTGAAAAGAGTATTGCACATCAGAACGTGATGCAGAGATTTATTTTAATCCAATGCAGCCAAAAGCAAAACTAAAGACCAGAAACAAACCAGTCAGCAAAACGTATCTGTTACCTAAATACAAATAAGTTTACATGTAACAAATATTAGTAAATTAAAACCAATACCGCACCCCAAGGACATGTGTATTTATACAATTTCTTTGCTTACGAAGCAAATCATTCAAAATTATTCAAGTTAGTTCATTGGCATGCACCCCCGGAAGGCAGTTTAATCAATACGGAAAATTTCCTTCGCGGCCCCCAGACGGAACAATTTATTACTTGTATGCAAATATCGATATTCCGCAGGATGCGGTCGCCTACCCTTTCCTACCATGTTTCCTGTCGACGGATAGTAATTTTCCAAAAACAAAAATCCCATTATCACATGAAAACACCCGTCATCGCAAGGAAAGACTAGCAGATATGTTTACGAGGGGGAAATGTCAACAGACCCCCACCTCCGCGTCGCGCGCGACCGGTATGCCCAAATACATACCATTTGCGCATTCGACGTGGGAATGTTTTGAACGGCATTACCCATACCGCCGGCGTACCACCAATTGGCAGCGGCGGCGGCCGCAGCGGCCCCTGACAGCGCGGACGCCGCCGCGTCCGCGCCTCGACTCCCGGCATCACCCAGCATGCCACCAGCACCACCGCCGCCTACCATGCCATCACTCAGCCTACTGTAATCGTACCCCCCGCGCATACACGAGCCGATGGGCGACGTCGACATGACATTCGCGGCCGATGTCATGGTGGAGGCGACAGAGCTCGGGCTTTGGAAGCTGCTGGCCATCTTGTACGAAAAGAGCTGCTGCGCCACGGCCGCCGCCGTCGACGCGGCCGCCGCTGCCGCGCGCGCGTCGTGCTGCGATTGTTGTTGCTGCTGCTGTTGCTGTTGGGCGACGGCGGCAGCCGCCGCGGCCGCCGCTTGCTGTTGCTGCTGCTGGACAGCGGCCAGTTGCTGCTGATGGTGCTGGTTCAGAAGGTGATGCGATTGGAGCGATTGTTGATAGTCCGAAGAAGCTAACGCGCCCGACCACCACACAGCCGCAGCGTCTTCCCGCGATGACCCCCAAGCACCATGATGGTGCTCAGACATGGCTCGACTACACTACACACTTCCCAAGAGCTTAGTTTTCACGGGGACTATACCTAAGAGGCGTCGCGGGGGCTTTACGAAGTGTACCGCGGCGCGCACACACACTCATACACATACACGCTTCGCGAGAGGGGAAAGACGAAGAGGGAGGAGGGGGGTTCAGGAGAAGGGAGAACGCTTTCTCCTTCTCACTCCAACAGCGTACGTCTATAACGTCGGGGGAGGGGTTCTCCACTGCAACGTTGCCACAGCACCCACGCGGACAATGATACACAAAGGAAAAGCCGAAGTGGACACCCACCCCCGCGCGCCGCTGACCACGACGCTCTTTGTCCAGGAGAGGGGCATCGAAGGAGGCTCTTACCCCCTCCTAACGTCTAACGACCACCCTACCCTTGAGTCGAGGTCAGTCTTAAGACGCACGCCGTCCCGAAAGGGCGCGCTGAGGAGCCTAGTGAGCTCTTTCCGATAAAAGCGACAATACTTCGCAAAATACGAAACGCAGAGTTTTGTGTTTAACCAGCTTATTGCAGCGTGATGCACGAATGGAAAATTCTCAACCAAGATTAGATTAGACAAGTAATATTAAAATCGAGCAATAAGACGTTTAAACAAACAGCAAATCCGGCAACATTGTTTCCGAGGTGCCGATCGAGTACAGCGCACCCAACACGCAGCGGTTCGGACCGGAATTACACAACGCGGAAACTCGCCCCTCTACCGGCATAAACCGTTCCGTGCCGAGTACTGCTGGGTTCGGGTCGGTCAATAAGACGATGGACGCGGCATTCCCAGGGCTGAAGTGTGCCTGGGGGTTGGCTTGCCGTGCCGAGTGCCGCCAAACTAAGCGACGCTCGATGCTTTCCTTGCAAATGGACCAATGTAGCAGGGGGGAGGGGTAACCGGAGGAGAATCACCCCTCCACTACTTGCCAAGCAATTGACATTTTCATTAAACATATGAAACGGACCCCAACATTAAATACGCTACGACTGAACTAAAACTAATCCTGCAAATTACACGCAAAAAAATATTAAAAAGAAAAAAGTTACAAATAACTACTCCCTGATAAATCTGAAAAATGTATGAAATCTTGTGAAAGCAATATTATTGTTCTTTCTTACAAACTCATTCACTTTAGCACAGTTTTATAACCGAAGCCTATACAAAATAAACACCCGACTGATCAATCTGTGCGAGCGAGTGTAGGCACTTCAATATTTTACTTTTTCGACAAAACAATACATTCAAAAATCACACACTCAACGAATTGAGTTGATGAATTAACTTTCTCAACTAATCAGAAATGGCGACATTTTCGATTTTTTATAAATACATATAGTATATATAATATCTAATTATTAAGTAATTTTTCATTAATTCGTTCATATGACCTTCATTTCCCCTTCCCGCCATTTTCACAGACTGCTACATCGCCATTTTGCTAAAAAAAAGCATTATCCGAGATGAATATCCAACTATAAAACACTTTCACGTAACTTCATTTCACTTACACCGAACACCCACCGACCAAATTGCATACCCGTGACCCTACTGCTATCCTACCTCAGCTCATAAGGAAACTAACTTCATTAAAATCTCTAATAAAAGAGACGCAATTAGGTACATTATGACTGAAAGTGACCTTTATTTCCACCTACTGACTATAATACACGAAAGTTATGGCATAATGAGCTACTAGTAAATTACTTTGCATCTACAACATATGCTAATCATACATGCTTCCTAGCTAGTACAGCGCCTTACGGGCAGTTCCCTATACGTTATATGGAGTCCATACACAGCCTTGGCTGCCATTCGAACAAAGCGTCGGTTTTTATAAGTGGAAAAATGCACATTTACATTGAGAAATACCAATATGCCACGCATTAATAGTTAATTAAGCACCGTACATTTTATTGCAATACCTCTTAGCACTGTACAATACGTAGTTGCAGAATAAAAAAACTTTTTATTATACTCTTATTGCGTTTCCAATACTAAGCTTATGGCAGCCATTTCGTTGACGGTTGTATACTACTAATAGAATGTGTACTTTTATAATTTAGTTTCCATGTTTTAAAGCATTACAAAGACGCACACATAACACACACAATGTAATATATTTTGAACTTTATATTTATAGAATTTCTACTTCTGACACTACCAAACTCAAGAAATATAAAAATATTCTTACCTGTACTAGCCTCCAACAGCCAAAGGATACCCTACTACGAATATCGCGACCCCACGCCACTTATGCGGTACATGGAAGTAACATAGGAGAATCCCAGCGTTTTTCATTGGTCTATTTTAGATGGGCCGCAAAAACTTCACCAATCAGCATCTACCTTGCATGTAATGAAAAGTCAGACATGGTGTCCAATGGGATTGAACAGAATACCTTTGGCGGGCAAATTCCTCTTGTAGTTGAAGTATAAATTATGTTCATTGTCATATTTCAGTTAAATATGAATATAAATAAAAATTTAATTTTATGGTTTGTGTCTCATCATTTGCGGGGAAGTAAACGCGAACAAAAGTAGTAAAAATCTTACGTAAAAGAGAGGCAGTGTTATTTTCATGAGGAGGCGTGGCTTATTTAAATCAACCAATCGTATCCTACAGGTATTGACCCGAGCTGTGACAACAACAAACCTCTCGCCATTGCTGAGGGGAGGTATATCACGCGTTGTGTCTGTGTTGCTCCTTGCAAAGAAGTGGGGAAATTTTAATTATTTTTAAAATGTGTTAATTATTATTAATTGGGAGGAAATCTGTTTCGTGAAATAATGTTCAAATCAAAAAATCTGGAGTTTGTTATGAGGTTAGAAATAAATTGACTAAACGTCATATTTTGCATCCAAAAGTTTTTACAATACTTAAATTAGTGCTTGCTGGATGCTCTCTTGTGACAGAATATGAACGGATTCAGTACTGGGGAGGAAGACTCGAGAGGTCCTCCTGACCAAATATGCTGTCTAGTTGACGATGGCGAGAGATGCCCCCGACCAGCAGGTAATGCATCGTACAGCAAAAGAATTCAAAAGACTGTGACCCAAAGGAGATTGAAGCTTCACTTGGATAGTGTGGTAAGTAAATTTATTTCACTGATTGTACGTGTAAGAAACTTACATACATTTCTGCGGTATGTATGTAGCACACATTACATAAAAACTTGTTTTAATTTTGTTTTGTTGCTGTGCATTACGCTTACGTTTATTATTCCCTATATTTTGCAGGCTCGGCATATCTACATTTGTGATTATCATAAAGGTGTTATACAGTCGGCAAGAACTAAGCCCAGGCGTAGGAAAGACTCTGAAGATGATTCTAATGAAACTGACACTGATGTTCCAGAAGTCGATCTTTTTCAGCTTCAGGTTAACACTTTGCGAAGATATAAAAGACATTATAAAGTATCTACGAGGCCAGGGACAAACAAAGCTCAGCTAGCAGATGTAAGAATTTTGAATATTTTTTATGTATTTTTAGTACCAATGCTGTATGCAAAATAAAGGTTGTTGTATTAAGATGTATCTTGAATTTGAGAAACATACTACAAAAGAATTATAAATTTGTAGCATCACCATAAATGACCATGCGTAGTGAAGATTATTAAATTGAAAATTATTGAAGTATAAACAAAAGCCTTGATAAAAAAGGCTGAATCAACAGTTTTTAGCTTGTGAATTGTCTCTTAATTACTCTGTATCAAAATGCATCTTAATACAGGGGTCAACAATAAAATTGTTTCATGTTGTTTTGTTTAATTTCAGACGCTAATGAAGCATTTCAAAACTATTCCTGTGAAAGAGAAAGAAGCCTTGACATTCTTTATTTATATGGTTAAGTCGAACAGTAACAAACTTGACCAGAAAAATGGCATTGGGTCTGATGCTGCATAGTGATATAAACTATTTTCTCAATGTTTGTAGAAGTTTTGAGTCTGTTCTTGAAGCCAAGAGAAGAAAGTAGTCAGCAATGTGAAGTTCTTTTTGAAAATCGTGTTTTTGTGTAAAAGATGCCCAATTTGGTGTGCATTCCCTCCAAATTGTATTTTAAGCTTCTTTTAACAGTTTCTCTTAGTCATAATGCTTTATTTTAACTGATTGTAAAACAGTCAAAATTCTGTGTTACTCCATTGTAAAATTTTTAGAACTAATTGTTTGAGGCAGTGAAATGATATTGCAAAACATCAAAGTAATCCAAGCTTCCTGTATTGGGACAGTGCAATATATTGTTGCCTCATCCAGATTCCTTGATTAGTGGGAATCTTTTAGAGTTTTTGTCATTGTTTTATTATATGTTAAGTTAAATTTTTTTTATTATGAATGATGCATTTTATTTAATGTGTATATATCATTTTCAAGAATGAAAATCTATGATTAATAAAGATTTAAGTGTACAATCTTGTACAATATTTCGTACTAAGGAGACCAAATAAATTTGCTTGTATTATAATTAATTTAATGTTAGAGATGCTGTATTTATTTTCAATGTGTTACACGAGAGGTGCTCAAAATGTGGAGGTTTGGCATAGTATTAGTCTTCCGTCCAATCTGGGTCTAGTGGGGGCAAAAGAGAATTAAGATAGTTGTGGATAGAATTGCCATTATCTCAAATTGTGATTAAAAAAATATTGCTGCAAATGCAGGAAATGCATTGCAAGTGCAAGTTTAGACAATGTGAGATAAATCTGCAATTCAGAACTTTGAAAAGATTTAACTAGTCTGAAAACTTAGTAGTACCTGGCCAAATACTGAAATAAGTCCTTGAGTGGCAATAAGCAATGTCTTGTATCTTAAAATCCTTAAATTAATCTTCATTTTGAAGATTTATTGAAGTTGTAGGAGCAAAAATTCTGATCAGTTCTGTTGCTGTTAAAGAAATATCTTATAAACATTTGCTACAATTAGGCTATTTGCTCAAGAGGTTCATTACAAGTTCTAAATTTGAACATATTCAGAGCTGAGATTTGATTTTATGCTAATTATGGTATGGTTTTATTGGTATCTTTATTGCTGTCTTGTTTAAGTACATTTTTGTCTATTGTATGTTTTTCAACCTGTGATCAGTACAAGTAGTTAATACAAATAAGTTCTCTATTTTTTAATAAAAGGACTACAAAGAGTTCAAAGAATTTTCCTATCTCCCTTTTGTATTTCCTACATCACTGATTTGGAAGACTTATCAAGTAAAACATTTATTTTCATCCAATGTAAAGAAAGTAACACATTGGAAAATTAAAACAGCAAAGAACTAAAAGCTGAATAAAACATTGATATAGAATTGAAGCTTCATTTTTCAATAAGGTTTCTTTTTATTTTAAGAATTGTTAGAAATAACTAAGGATATTAATTTCACAGTTGCTGAAAACTATTATGCATTTAGTATTAAAAACATCAAACTTTAAAGTCGTAAGTATGGGAAATATTTTTCTGAATTATTAAATTCTCTTATTTTGATTGGCTTCAGTTAAATACATAATAGTAAATCTTTGATAATTAAAGTCATTAGCTGAAGGAAATCAACATTAGTCTTAGGAGTCCAAGTACTTTATTTTCAAACTCAAGTTTTGAACACTAACAGATATGTGTCAAATTTTAGGTCTTGAACCTTTCTCCTGATGTAGGTAATAATTTTCCAATGTCAACGAAAGCATTAAGGTCTCGCAAAATGATAAAAGCACATGGTTGTTTACAGTATTTTATAATAAATTTTCACAGTATTCAATTAAACATGTCACTTTGAAGTTGTTTAAATTATTATTCTTGTTAACATTTATTCATCACCATGTTGGTTTGGAATACCAGCCTCTTGAATGTGGTTCATCACCTTCCATCTTTTCTTCTTTAGGACATCTGGAATTTTTTTTTTTTTTTCATATTTAACATATAAAGTCGTCTTTATTTAAATTAAAAATTGGTGACTTAACCGTAATTACCTTCCTCTTCCTTTTTCAGTGGAACCATTCTTCAAATCTTCACCATGCAATAGAACCGTTTCTTCTTCTTCACTGTCTCCACTGAGCTCTGAAAATATATAATGAAGTAGGTAATGTTTCTCCTTCGCAGAATATATCCATACATGCACAATGTTCATATCTCTACGGCAAACAACTGGAGTTAAAAAATGAAAATTAAAATGAAACATAATTCGGTTAAAGCAGGGTGTACACCGTGGATGGAATCACAGTCATAGCACTAAAGAGAGAAACATTTGATAACTGAATAAAACAAAAATGGAAGAATCACTATTTTTTCAAAAATGTAGTCAAATCCATAGTTTTGTGTTTTCAAAACTTTTATTTCAATAGCATTCATCATTAACTTACCAATGTTCGCTATTACTTTGTTTTCATTAGGCTTATTTTCTGTTCCTTTATATTCAGCAACAACTTGTATTTCAGAATCTGACATTGGTTCTACGTTCTTTCTTGTGTCTTCAGACACATTATCTAAATTATCACTTTCCTCACTTGAGCTACTTTCACCAACATCATACTCTTTACCACCTTCATCGTTTTGCAATTTACGTTTTCTTCTGAGTTTCATATCTTGCTTCTTTGGATTAACAAGCTCTGCAGACCCCTTTCCTACTGATACAATAACTGGTTCACTGTCGTCTTCACTGCTGTCATCCATAACTTCTGAAATATTAATATTTCCACATTACTACATCAAGCAGTAGATAAAAAAAATTAAAAAATGACCATTAAGTTGAAGACAAAGAATAATGCCAAAAAGGAAATTAATTTATTCACACATTTGTCTAGTATCTTCAAAACCACCTAGTTTCCTCTTTAATTAAACCCATTCACAAGGGTATTTTAAAGCTGAAAATGTATTACAAAAATTTCAGCTGAAGAAAGAAATGTATTACAAAAATTCACCAATGTGTGAAAATTTAATAACAGCAAATTTCATAATTTATTCTCTAATTTTCAGGATCTTTATCTCATTTTTCTTAAAGCTTCCTTCTTCATAATCCATTGTTTGTATCAAGGTAAAAAGAAATAATTTTTAAAATGTCACATTACCATATTCTCCTTTTTCCGTTCTGGCAAGGTTCAAATAGCAATTGTAATAATGTAACCCATCCTGCTCAAAGTAGGCTGGAATTCTATTCACACCATAGAACTTGGCAATGAAGCACCCATTTCTTCAGTATCTACTTTCTGTTTTAAATGTACAACCCACATTGCAATAAATGAACAAAATTCTTTAAAAAAGTTTCATGAGGTAAGGAAAAATAACACTCCTTAATCATTATGATTAATACTTGGGAAATTCTACTTGGGTAGCTTTAATAGTTGGCCCTCGGAAAATATTTGTTCATACACCTATTTAAATGAATTCTCATTATTCAGTGAAGAGCTAATTACTCCACTAAATCATCTTAACTTCCAGTTGGAAAAGAACATTGAGAAATTAAAAAACTGTATTAACGAGGATGCAAACACTTCACAATGTTTTTAAAAATAAAATACTTTTATTTTTTTGTATTTTCTGAAAAAGTTACAATACTAAGAACTGACATTTTTTGAATAGATTGAAAAATAGTAAGGACACTCAAATTCATATTGCAACTTACCATCATTAATTTTTTCTTCTTTTACATCTCCTATATTACTAGCTCTTTTTGCTCTTTCTTTCTTAAAGTCTGGAGTGAACAGCTGAATTTGGAAGTTGTCTTTTCCTAATGATAAACGGTTATTGCTATCTATACAGTCTCTGAAACCAACTTCAATGCCTGATATTCTGAAAAGAAAAGGAAAATCCAAGAATTTTAAGACTACTATAAATCAAAATGTAACGCACACACTGCTTCCACCATTCTCATGCTAAACTTTATACTTTACAGGAGGTTAAGAACTAGGAAGAATTCTATTTTATGATATTAATTCTGGATGTTTTTTTTTAAAAAAATTAATTTTACAATATAATTTACCTATTCTTGAGATCTTCAGCTAGAGCCTTTTTCATTTGCGTGACTAATTCCAAGGCCCGTTTTGAAGCCCTTGTTGCATATTTATTCACCATCTCCAACGTAATGGGTGCATTTCCTCCTAAGTGAAGTCCACATAGCTCTCGATAAGCATTTACACCAAATACAATCTGACCTTCAGAAACACGTTCTTCAATAGCAGTAGGATCAGCAATTACATGGTTTCTATAGAATATGAAATAAGACACAGGTCATATATATCATTACATTGTTTAACAATTTTTTTGCACAATCACTTGCATCTCAAAACCAAAACAAACCTTCACTGGAAAAATGATTTTTTTTTCCTATAAAAATAATAATAAAAAGTTAATTTGCCCAAAGTATTTAATTTTGTACATACTTTTACATTTGTTTTAAATAATATGAAACTTTGTCACTGACCCTTTATCAAAAACAGCATATGAAACACACACAGGATGATGATGAAGTGTTATGGGTATTGGGTCTCTCTCAGCAGGATCATGAATAATTGTTTGTTCTCCTGTGGTAGTAACATCAGGACGGCGGAAATGAGACAAAGCTGTCAGAGCAGCTAAAGATGCAGCATCCACCAAGTTTCCTTCATGATTAAGGATATTGACATCAATTCTTACTGCCCATACCTAAATTAAATTACATAAAATGAGAGTTGGGAAGCATATCCACATTTTAGTTTTCAACAATATATAAGTAATAATTCACCTTTTCTTCGGCAGTAATGCAAAGTGATTCCAAATCTACACAGCGAGAGTCTTTTATGCACTTTTCAAGCAATCTATTTAATTGAACAGCAAGATCAGACTGTCTTCCTGCTTCAAAATGTGGTGCACCCATTGGACTTAGTTCCACAAATAATAATAGAAGACCTTCATTTGGACGAGTGGACTTAGGTTGCTGAACTTCACACGATACTTGGGCAATAACCCTGCAATAATTCATAAATGAAATAATTGAATTTTTTTTAATGACATAACCTCATTCATACTTCACAAAACCTGTACATTACTCACAAATCTATACTTACTTTGTTTGTCCCAATGTCACAATACAGCAGCCCCAATCACTCCCAAAATGAATTTTCATGGGTCTGAATTCATCAAGTTTACGGCCATCTAATCTCTATAAAATGCCCACAAAAATTGAGAAAATTTGCTATGTTTTCACAGTATTCCATTATAGTAAAAATAAATAATTACCCTGGTTTCAGAAAGAGCACTTAAAATAAAAGTTTTTTCACTGATCGACAATATTGATTCCTTCATTTCTTCAAACTAAATCTCAGTCAGAAAGCCGGAAAAATGTCTAATGTGTGTATGTATAAACTAACAACAAAACGAGGCAAAATCGCCAACAAAATACTTCAAACTAAAACAATTAGAATCAAAATGACATTTCCAAATCAACACCCACACCAGTATCACATTATTAAGGCACAGTCAAGGCATGTTTGAACTTCAAAGTCTCAACTAGCCCAACTCTTAGTTGCTCTCAGTGCCTCAAACCACTTAACTGGAGGGAGAAATAGAGAATTATTCGAATCGAACGAAACTTAACCTGATCTTGGGATCATAAGCACGCTGGACGCTAACCACTCTACGCTAACCAGGAAAATAAAGAGCTCCGTGACCAGAGTAAAATCATTATGTAAAAAGCATCATGTTGTAAATATTCATGACTTTATTACCACAGTAAAAACTATGGTAAAACCATCATATAAATATTTTTTTAATACCATCGCGATATTTGCATCACGAGAAAAAATTAAGGAATGATTCTTCCGTGGTCATAGAAGAAGCTGTCCGAAGCATCTTTCATAATATGGACCAAAGAGTATTCTATATGAGTTGCCCATACATATGACGTCATAACATTTGGCGGGAAAGTGTATTATACGTACGGAGTGTTGTACGTAGTATAGGGAATTATATGTAATGCTACGGAAAATCGATTTCGAAATTGGGACTGAAATACACTTTTAGGGTCCCCTGAAACCGAAAAAACCTCCGTCTGTCTGTTCGTCTGTGAACACATTTCGATCAGGTTTTTGTCCAGTTTCCCTGATCCATTGAGCAAATGCTGAGATGGCGTCTTGGTTTGCTTCTGGAGGTATAAATGTAGCTTCACTATGCGCACGTTTTGTTGAACTCTCCTGTTGCTTGTATTGGTAGGAGTAGAGATAAGGACGAGTTACTATTTTGTTAGCAATGCAGAAAAATCATTCTTGCAATTTGTTTACCGATTCAAATAAGTTTTCTATAACTCGGGAACGAAAATTCCTTTTTTCTTTTTTCTCAAATATTGCTAATCCCGCGCTTTTGAAAAATTTATTTATTTTAAAATTTTCTTATCTTTCAACTATTTACAATTAAAATGATGGGAAGGGAAACCGGAACTGAAGAAAACGTGCGCAGATGATCATCTCCCCCAGACGTGCATACAATTTTTACTTTTTTTTTCTTGACTATATAAGTCTAAATCTAAACACAACTAGCGCCTAACCATAAGTAGGATTGTTTTCCAAATTGAAGAAACCCCTGTCCATCCAGCATTATAAAAGACAGAACAAATGAAGACGGTGCAATAAACCCCCTAATTCTTACTGCTGCTTATTGAGTCGCCGCCAACTCTCTCGTCTGACATGTTATCGCATAAGATGGGAAGCTTCAAACCGAAACAACAGTCGAAAGACAATGTTCTTCTTTTTCTTCTTCTTCTTCTTCTTCTTCTTCTTCTTCTTCTTCTTCTTCTTCTTCAAAACGTCACCCGTCTGTCTTCCCACCCGTCTGTCCAACCGTCTGCCGTACGTCTGGTGTCTGTGAACACTTCTAGCACCTCAACCTTACGTAGGGTTTTTTCCAAAATGAAGAAACTCATCTGGCGCTGATCGATCCTTGAGATTTTGAAAAACATTCTTCAATATATGGGGTACTTTACACAAAACAGTCCGGTCCTTTACAAAAATTTCTCAAAAACGGCTCCAAATTTGTTCTTTAAATTTCTTGTAAGAATAGAGTAATATACGCTTATAAACGTGGCATGGGTCCGATTTTCACGGTTAACTCTGAGTTTTCGATAATTTCAAAAGTATGAATTTTTTCGCCATTTTCCCCCAACTACAAAATTAAAGATAGAGATTTTTCCTTCAAATACAATTTGTTCAAGAACCGACGAAACATGAATTCTGGCTACACCACGTGTTAGACGATTTTTTCTGCACAGTGAGGAATATACTCTCTGGTGAGGTCTTTCATTAAGGTCATATACGTTTTTTTGAAAATTTTAGTAGTCTTCGCGTAATATTGCGTGACGACTGTGCAATTAACATTATTAAAATAAGATTTTCTCAAAAACGTTTTAAATTTATTCTTCAAACATTTTGAACTGATAGTGCTAATTGCACTCTTTAATATAATGTAAAGTTCATTTCGGTGTTCTTTTTGTTTTGTTTTTTTCTTTCAAAAATTAAACGCTGCTTGACATCACCTTTGCTGGTTATATAGGAGTATAATGTTGCGTAGCGTTTAGAAACACACAAATAATTTTTTTTAAGGTATCTCTCATACCAGTAATATGCACATTTCCAGAAAATAGTAAACACTATTGTAATTGTGAGTTAATGTGCTTCAAATTCTATTTGATCATCATAATTCTACAAGAAATAATCAATAATAATTATATTTTAAATATAACAATGTCCAGTAACAGTAATAATAACATATTAACATATAATGAAAGTAATACATTTTTTTGGCCTGTAGAAACAATAATGCTGTTGAATCATATCACACAAACTGGTTATCCATAAACAAGCACATTATCAGCTCATGAAGATATAGTCAAATATCTCGTATGACAAGAATTGTATTATGTACACTCCCAGCAGCTATTTTACAAAACACTAAAGAATACTGCAGTAACATCATGTAGTATATTTGGATAAACATTACAATAGTTGTCCATATACGATTGTTACAATAGTTGTCCAAGAATATCCCATAATTTATTCCATAACACAACAGGTGTATAGCAATTTTTTAAGGTGGGAGGCCTTTTTCTTGGATTCTTGCTGTTGCAAGACCTTAGCTGTATTCTCAGTAGTGATGCACTAAGTATGAGAATTATGTTGTACACCCAGTATGGAAAAGGCAGAATAACACAATCATATATCTGCAAATTTCAGACAAAACGGAAACTGTTTCATTATTTTTAGACATTTTTCCCCATGATCCTGGGTATCTAATGATTTTATGGACCCTATTACATTAGTTTATGGACCCAGTTTACATTAGTAATATCTATTAAGTTTGTTATAAATGAATCCATAAAACACATAAGTCAAAACACAATAATTACACATATTTAAGAAATGGGGAATTTATAGAATATTATTTGGAATAAAGGATACCATATTGTATGAAACTAAATTATCTGAAGTAGAAGTGAAGTCACAAAAATAACTTACACATACGTAACAAGGAACTTGTAAGCATTAGAGAAGTTAACATTAAAGAACACGAGTCAAATATCAAAGTAACAAATATTACAAACACAATTTTCCCCATTGTAATAATTAAGTATGTATGCAAATATTTTCTATATGAATAATATGTTTTTTCATTCAATAAAGTATTTCATTTGTTATATCTGTTTATTTGTTATATATTATTATTATTATTATTATTATTATTATTATTATTATTATTATTTTTTTTTTTTTTTTTTTTTTTT